GGATCATCAGAACCATCAGGACCATCAGAACCATCAGGATCATCGGGATCATCAGAACCATCAGGACCATCAGAACCATCAGGACCATCAGAACCATCAGAAGCATCAGAACCATCAGGATCATCAGAACCATCAGGACCATCAGAACCATCAGGATCATCAGAAGCTTCAACAAAGTCACCAGATCCTTTAAACCATAATCCGTCCATCCATGGATTCAGACCTGCACCCACCATCCCTCCTGGGCCTACAGGTGCAGGTCTGGATCCATGGATGGAGGAAGCAGGAAGCAGGGCTTCATTTGGACGGGGTGGACGAGCAAACACAATGGACTAAATATAAAGGAGCACATCTGGCTGAAGTGAGCACAACTGGTTTCATTGACAGCTTCGGTTTATGGCCTGACGCTGACTCTGGGCACCACCGAGGGGTTTCACTGCTTTTTGCTGAGCAGCTGGGTAACGTGACCGGACCAGAGCCGGTTCCAGAGCTTGGTTTAATGGACCGGCACAATAAGGAACCATCCTCTACGAGCAGATTGGCCCTTTAAAAGGAAGAAGCTGCAGATAACAAGCTGTTCTCCAGAGCCTGAAACACAACATGCTAAATCAAGCACATCAGAACGATGTTTGGTAGAGTGAAGCTCAGGCTGAGGGAGGTGAAGCTGCTGCTGCTCTTATTTTATTTCTGGCAGTGAAACAACTTGAGTGCGGTCTTCGTGTGATTCAGGGTTCACTCACCGAGCTCTCAGAGTGCTGACTGTAGACTTATCAATCCTACAGAGAGAGAGAGAGAGAGAGAGAGAGACACCGTCAACATGTGGTGCACTGAGCGCGCTCTGATAACAGCAGGAACGTTAGGACGTTGCCGAGGTGGAGGACGAGATTTCTATCTGCATTCTCTATTAACCTCAGTAACCTGAGTGAGGTGTGAGGTTCACAGCAATAAAACCTGTTTATTAAAGTGCTGCAGCGCCACCGAATCAGGCGTGTTTCTGTAATGACGGCTGAAGCGCAATAAAACAGCACAAACCAGCAGACGCATGAACCACTGGATGACTTCACAGAAAGTCATCCAGTGGTAGAAAGTGGGTTCCTGAGGCTACGTCCACACTAAGCCGTTTTTGTTTAAAAACACCGTTTTGGCCTCCCGTCCACACTGAGGCGGCGTTTTCCTCAAGGAAAAACGCCGCGTTTTGGAAACGCTCTCGAAAAACAAATACATTTCAAAACGGAGCTGTCCCGTCGCAGTGTGGACACTCGAACACGCAGACTTTCTAAAACGATGACGCATTTTAGTCGTGTGATGCAGTCATGTGACCAATTAAACTAAGACAGCGGAGGGTGTTACACAGCAGTGGTTTTGATTGGTCTCAGCTTTGACAGCCCTGTTACAGATTAATATCAGTCTGTACGTGCTGCAGATTGCTTTCCTTCTAATTCTTTAATCCTCACTGGCTTTTGCGCATGTGCAGGACTGCAACGTAAGTGTTTTGGACCGTTTCAATGTGGACGCACAACTCTTTGAAAACGCTACTGTGGACGCGGAGCGTTTTCAGATGAAAACAGCGTTTTCAAATCTATTTGGGCTGGTGTGGACGTAGCCTGAGGCACAGAGGTTTTGACGTGACGTATAGGGACAGAACGGGACGTTTGTCTCTCTGTCACCGACTGCGTTTCCATAAGTTCGACCTGAATGGCTGAGCTCCTCAGCCTCTCTCTTTGCCCCACTGCGGGGTGACCCAGGGACTTGTTTGGGCTGAGCACGCCCCCTTTTACCGGGCTCGGTCTCCTGAGCACCACACACAGGTCTGACTGGAGGGTGGAATCCAAACCACCCAGGGTGTGAAATAACCGCTGTTCATCAGTACCTGCATCACACCTCACTCACACGGTGTCCTTGGAAGTGCTGATGATAAAGCATCCAGACGCTGCACAGACATGACTCATGTCTCATGTATGCTGTAACGCAGGTCTATCTGTCATACACACCACAGCGCTCGTCACTGATAGACTCTGACACTAGAGCAGGCGACATGACCAAAAATATTTATCACAATATACGTTTGAAAATTTGCGATAACGATATAACTGACGATATAATTGACACGAGACAAAACACAACTCCACAACTTTATTAGTGCAAAAACCCATCAATGTATTTTCACTTAACCCTCCTGTTATGTTGGCTTGAAGGAGCACTGATTACGTTCCTGGTCAATTTAGATTTTTTTCGCTTTCTGTAGTGATGCAGATGACATGTGACATCTCTTCTGTTCTGGGTCAATCTGACCCGCAACATAACAGGAGGGTTAAACAAGCAGCTGTTTTTTTATGTGCATTAAAGTTA